TATCTTGCCACTATAATCGATTCGCTCCAATTAGCCGGGACACTTCTTTCCAGATACATTCGAATAAGGAGGTCAGTACTTTGCAGCGGACCTCACCTCCATCCCTAAATAGTGCAGGTGGGAGGGAATCCGGGCGAGCGGCACTAAAACGATTGAGGGCTGTGATCGCGTTTCGGACCTCGGCCTCCGACGGAGGCTGTGAACTAACCGTCCATGGCTCGTCCCACATCACCTGAGTAGGAAGAGGTCCGGCATCAGGGGGCCAGCTGAACTGATCTTGAAAGCGTTCCGCCCAACGAGTTACACGACGCTCCTTATTGTGTATCAGCGCATCCGCGCTGTCTCTGATTGTCCCACTGACGCCTGGTTTTCTCGGACCAGTGGTGCGTATTAGCTTGCGATAATTGCCTACTGCTCCTGGTTCCTCCATTTCTTTAGCCCTACTGGTCTACCAGGCTTCCCTGTCAGCACGTAGGCTCTGTTTTAGTTTACGCCTAATAGCCCGTCTGGTCACATTGTGTTCAGAGCCAGCGGCGAGGTGTCTAGATTCCAACAGGTTCATGGACATCTCGGATATCCAGGGACTGGTGCGGTGGCGATGGATAGTGCCACAAGCAGATGCTCCTGCGTCTGCATGGTGGCCGAGATCCTATTTTACTGAAGTTCATTGTCATTAGGACAAGACAGCGGAAGTTTGGTATACAGTGCTTCTTAATAGGTTTGCCTGACCGAGGAATGAGACAATTTCTCAGTTTCCAATCGTAGGGGACACTTGGTGCGCCTGCCGGTTAAGTTCTTGGAGAAATGACAACGTACCAAGGCATGATCAGAGTCGACACAGGTACTCCAGTACGAGCGGCAATCCAGGATGGTACCGCGCCATCTGTAACTTATGGCTATGTGGTCAATTTGGGTCCATCGCTGGCCAGCTACAGGTGGACTCCAAGTGGCACTTCGGCGCCCACTGTATCTAAAAGCAATGCTAGTAAGAAACAACTGGTGCTCAACACACAGTTGCAGAAGACGCTCGCCGTTGTCAGTCCGTTCAGAGTTAAGTCCATACTTACCACCTAGCTGAGCTTCTGAAGAGCTCAGACGCCCTACTTGTGCGTTCATATCCCCTGCAAGTACTATAACATCTGAACTAGTAGCACTGCGTACTAGCGCATTCAGTTCGTGATAGCATGTGTCCTTGACAGCATTTGAACTGCAGTCGGTGGGAGCATCAGCGGAAATCACGAACAGACAGCATTTTTTGCTACTTCCTGAATCAACCTTAGCTGATGTCGTCAAACGGGCCGCACAGAAACGGCTGTTCACCGGAATCCAATCAACCAACGATGGCTCAGCCTTGGAGCTTAGAATGATACCTACACCAGCTTGACCCGTGAGTGCTGCATCGGCGTCTCCGGATGCGTGCAACCAATAACGAGATGATAAGCCGGGTGCAGTTAATTCAAAAACCCCGTTAGGGTCATTGGTCATAGTTTCGGACACACAACATACATCAATACCCAGTGTGTCTAAGGTGCGTGCGAGTGCAGCCTGTTGATCTGCTTGTCTTAGAGTGCTTGGTTGCACATGGGCTTGTCGACAGGCGATGAGGGACGCTCGCGTTAGCATGAGTTGAAATTAGAAGATAAACGCCTAGCAAAGCATGTTGGGGGAGGACCAAGAATGGGGGGTTTGAAAACAGGGGGATAAAAGTGAAGCTGGATTGGGACGATGAGGGTGTAAAAGCGTAAGAAGGGGAATAAGAAGACGGGAAGGCTTGAGCAGGAGCATCCAAACTCCTATCCACCCTGCTCCATGCAGCAGATAGGGCGTCGTTTATTATCCTCTGCGACGGCTAAAGCATCCAGAAACTGTTTGAAGAGAAATTCATTGTATTTCGGACGTCCGCAGCGTCGCTGGGCGCGCATAGACACCAGCTAACTGGCGAAGCCAAATGTTCTGGTTGTTCTAATGTTTCCTATTGTACTTTGGTACACTGGCATCCGGAATGAGTAAGCGCCCACTGAACATCGCTGGTCGTATATTCGCCAGATGTTGCTACCAGCTGGCATGTCTTCATGTGGCAACTCAAATTGCCAACCTAGCACAGTCTCTGGAACGTTTGGGTGCTCGCCGAGGTATTTCGGCTGAAACCGAACATAATGAGAGTCGCAAAAATCTCAGGGCAGTATCTGTTAGCCTAAAGGGAGATCGCGAAGTCCGGTGGTCCAATCGGAAATTGAAACAGCCGCTTTCTTGGTAACCGTCATAACTCATTCCGTTTGTTACGGGAAACGGGCAGCAGGAGACCTGGTGTTAGCGAGACCATACGCGACGAGAGTGGACAGTCGATCCACAGCTTGTCAAAACGCTCGGAGCGTTGAGCCAAACCCTGAGAAGTTATTCAATCAGTCAGGCTTGTCGTCTTCTCCACCGGCCATTAACCACTCTGTTCAGTGGGCCATCCCCGTGGATCCGCCCTCACTCACAGAAATCGAATGTGAGATCAGACTTTTGCGATTGCATAAGGCCGCAGGGGCAGATAGGATTCCTCCAGCCCTCTTCAAATTCATGAAAGCAGCGTTCTCTGGACGGGACCTACAAGGTGTGGATCTGCTTCTTGGTGAGCGCCTTCTTGACTTGGAGTCTTCTGACGATATTAACCTCATATTTGACGGCTCCCAAACGTGACAGGCAGCACTGGACAGATTAGCACTGGTTGTCAATTGTTTTAGGCTTTGCTGCCTCGAAATGCAAGGTCCTTCTCCAAGATTGGCATGGACCTATCTCTGCGCTGGCTCTCCGTGACGAACAGCTAGAAGTCGTTCCGGTATTCAAGTATCTGGGATTGAAGATTAGGTCACAAACCGTATATCAGAAGTTCGAGATACTTTTGCTAATCTCCCCCACCTGCGGCGCGGACGCGACATCACTCTCTCCATGAAGGGCAGGGTTTACAAAGCAGCCGGCCGTTGTGAAACCTAACTCATCAAGTCGACGAACATAAAGTGGCTAGCTACGTTCGACCATCGCGGCCTTCTCAGCGTAGCTCATGTCTGGTGGGAGCCATGCATGTGCAATGAATGTGTCGTCGCGTATTTGGTGCAGGACGAGCGAGTGAACTGCTCAGCACCATTATATCACGCACAAGGCTCCGATGACTGATCTGCGTGTTGCGTATGCTAGCCCACTGATTCCCGCGACCTGCGTTGCTTGCGCCCCCGGGGTCTGAATGGAAGGGAAAGTGGGGTAGCTAAGCAATGACTTGGTCAAGAGAAATGAGATCCCTCACTTCAAAGTTGGCGTCCGTTGGTGCATCCCTACTGCTGGGCTGGGGTCCGAAGGACGAAGCACGCGTTTTGTTATAAACACTTGCTGATATGGCGAAGAACCAGTCCCAATGGCGTTCGTGTTGTAAGTTACTTTATCTACCCCCTCTTTTAGATTCCCCTCCAATCACCATCTTATAGAAAATCATTGATATGATATTTAATATCATATTGCTTACTTTTTTGAATTTTTGTAGTGTTATTTTTAGTATGTTGTCTTTTTATGTTGCGGTACATTAGCGATGGCGTCTCTCACCATCAGCTTGTGTTGATGCTAATGATAATAACCCTAGCCTCCGAAGAGGATTGCGTGACTGAGTTGCTTGACACTTAACAATTGACCAGTCTGGCATGAGTTACTTGAAATGCACTCGAAAATTGCTGCAAATCGTATCACTGTGGTACGCATACCATCGCATCACGTTTAGTTCCAGTCTGGTTGGCGAGATTTGTAAATTTATTGCTTGGCGACATGTGTCAAGGCCACTGTATTCGCAGCATTTCGTGCATGAATCTTAGTGCGTTACCAGACTGAACTGCATTGGGGAAGTTGTACTATGATAACTAGTCTCAAAATGAAATGATGCGAGCGGAAGTGTGACCGCGTTTCGATTGCGTGCCGCGTGTCACTGATCTTAATCGCATTTTCTAACTTTATTCACATGGTCTGCCGCTTTTACATGGACTGCTCGGACCAATTGCTACTGTTCGATACACACAATATGGCGCGATCCACTCAGAGAGCTCCGGGCTGGTCCCATCCGTTAATATTCACCATAACAGTAATGTGGAACAACTATGGGTCCCCTTCCGACCGTTTCTCTTAAAGACGTAATGCCAGAGGTAAATGATCAGTTAATCTATGTTGATAGCTACCTTTTCGTCGACTGGTATTTAGCTACTGCAGTTCACGCTTTGCAAACCCAGAACCATCTTCATGAATACGCGCCGCCTGTGATGCCAACACGTGTATTCTTAATCCCTACAGTCTCAAATGACCGTCTATATTTACGATACGGTGACTTGGCTTCATTCTTTTTATTATCTCAAACACCTTCAGGTCTTTTACTGTCGTCGCATATCCGTGACGATAGCAAACGCAGGTGAACACCAGATGTTCATGGTCAGGTTAACTCTCCAAATCATCTGTCTCTTGTACACTCCCTTATCGCTTACTTGGAAGAGGTTTTTTGTTCACCGAATGATGGTGTCTTGACGCTCCATGGCTCCAATCATTTGCCTGGTATCGTGAGATGCAACAACTGGACCTCGTTAGTTCATCACGCTTCCTAAGTGGGACATACACTGTCCTATTCTTAGTACGAGGCAGCGGGATGCTGCACACATCCGACAGTGTGTTCGCCTTGATTCTTGTCCACAATTTACACTGGTCCTGGGTTATTTAATGTTATTACGTTCTCGCCTTGCACATGACGAAAAATTCATGGTTGTAATGATGGATCTCCGATTGTTCTTTTTCGACCACTTCTTGGCGACCAAGGTCTCATGTATGTTGCTCCCTTACTAGTGAACGTGTTTTGTTGTTTTACTCTAGTTGTAGTTGGTTACAGATGACATATTTCTTAATTTTCTTACAGTTCTTTCCCTTCTCACTTCAGCCATTAAATGTCTAGTTAGTTTCGGTAATAATTCCTCACCTGGTGTATACTCTCTGTCATGGGCATGCCTTCCTATGTGAAAGAAAATTTGAAAAGTGCTCAACTGATTCTAGAATCCCTGAAGCGGGACCATGAGCAAGCCCTTCTTTCTCTGAATTCTGTTTGCCCTGCGCATGACTGTACGATGTTACCAGACGGAGGTTTACCAATGGAGGCGGAGAAGACTTTCAATCTGGAGAAAATTCCTTTAATAAAATCGGCTCTGAGCCGTATACAAAGTGGTCTGGACGACTCAGAGGTTGCTTTACTTGCTATTTAATAGCTCATTGCTTGTTTTAGGTTTTGTTCACATTTGCCAGATATGCGGAGTGCATGGAAGCTGAGAATGCACGTTTGAACTTACACAATCAGCGGCTATGTGAAGAAACTTCGTGGCTTCGCGATGAGTTAAAATTTACTCAAGCGAAACTCTGTGTAGGCTATCATGTTTGTAGTTTCTTGACTTCCTTATTTAGGAGAAAGAATCCCTTCTAGCACAAACACTGGTTCAAAAGCGGCATTTAGAATTTATGCTGGAGCTTACTAAGTACGAAGATACGGATAGTCATTCTGGGCGAAAGATCGATGAATATCGTAAAGGTAATTTCTCTTCCCCTATCCTTTTGTTTTGCGATTTACTCTTGATGGCCTACTATAAGCGTTGTGCTCCGAATTTATCACATGAGGCCTGCACTACGCTCTTGTGGCACTTCTTTTAAGGGGACCACTGTGATAGTATCCAGATAAATGTCATGGTCTTGTATTATTTCTCTAGAACCTGGTACCCAATAGGATGCTTCTGATGCGCAAATGAACCACACTTAACCACATGTACCAAAGACTTACAAATGCTTAAAACCAACAAACGGATGCTATCAGTCCCTGGAATTCCCGTCGGCAGTAAACTGTTGTAGTATACTTGAGCAGTCAGAGACCGACCAGCGAGCGCGGAATCAATACCTGGGAAATCAAGCTTTATTCCTCTGTGAATAGAAACGAGGGTCAAAATGTAACGGATAGGCGAATAGTGGTGACAACGACACATGCAAAGATGAATAACATCACTCTCTACCCCATTGATGTTTCAAAGGAATTAATAAAGAAATAAAAGCGGTGTATAAAAACAACGTTATTAAAGATTTGTGACTTGTAGGCAGCAACGTTTCACGCTAGAAAAGAGTTAATGTTTAAACCTCTCTGTTTCTAAGATAATATAGACGCACGCGTTGTTGAAGTGCCTCAAGTTCGCTCCTTGGGGACAGCAGCTGTCTAAAATTTGGTTGGGAATGATCCGGATGCATCTCGGCTTCGTCACGTAAGGTGTCAGCTGTACGCCGTAACGACTCTTCGCTACCGCGCGACCGCCACCAGTCGCGCTTGGGCTGAGTATACCGCGAGGACGCCACCCCTACTCGGATTCGAACCGGTGACCTTATGGTCTCAAAGCAAACGCGCCTCGTCACGTACGCAGACCTGGTCTTTCTCTCTAGGAACGATTGTTTTTTCTGGATCGACCATGCAATTGTATGTGCTGGCTTGCCGAACAACCTCCTCGTGGTACCAGCTGGGTGGTTCGGGATTTTCCCGTTCCAGCAAATGGTTCGGCGGCAGTGTTCCAGGACGTGGTGGGTTTTCGCCTGGCAAGCGTTCTCCCTATAAAAAGCCACATATGTCCGTTTAACAACACTGTGACGTGGCGGACGTGACTCGCCACTAAATAAAGTCACTGCCCCTTGCTTCAACCTGGCGAAGCATTGTATTCCAGCAGCCTTATGCTGTACTTCTGGGGAGCATTGGGCCCCTGTTTGACAAAGGAACAAACGAAAGGCGTATGAACTGAGCAATCAGTCACCGGCTCCCAATGGGCGCGATTCCCTGAATTCGCTCCGCTGCCTTGCGGGCAGGCTATTCAGCCAAAGGCTCGGGGTGGTGTCCCCTAAGTCAACACCCTACTTCGGCTTGGGCAACCGGGTAGTATCTCGCCCTCTGAGGAAACCATGGACATTGTTGTGTTGTGTTTTATTGTACTGTTTCTGTACTTTCGTTTGAATCCCATGGTTTCTGATGGCATTATGTCTGTTAGCAGACTTTTGCAAATATATATATATATACGTGCTGACCTGAGGATGCGTTTTGGCGGACGCCCACGACGACGCTGTGAGCGCATTGACACCAGCCAACTGACGAAGTCAGCTGTTCTGAATGTCTTTCAAAGTACGCTGACATGCGAGTTGAGTAAGCGCTCACTCGATACACTTGAATCTCACTGATCTCATGTTCAGACCTTACTAGCTGCAGGCAAATCCTCATGTGATAAGTCTAGTAGCCAACATGGACATTGGGTCTCTTCGCAGCCTCTAGAACTTACCGATGCTTGCCGGCACATTCCGGCTGAAAGCGGACACAATGAGACTCGCAGAAAACTCCGGGCAAAACTCCGTGGTAGCCTGAAGAGAGAGGGCGAATTCTGTTGGCCTCATCATGCATCAGAGATGGAAATGGCCGCTTTCCTTGGGAACCATTGTAAGTTATCCCGTCTAATACGGGAAACGGGTAGCAGGAAACCTGGTGTTAGTGAAATAATTTATGACGAGAGTGCACGGACTATCCACAACTTGTTAAGACGCTTGGAGCGTTGGGCTAGGCATTTGGAAAGGCAATTTAATCGGTCGGAATTCTCAGATTTCTGGCCAGCCACTGATCGCCCTGCTCCGCGGACTGTTTTTTGGATCCCCTCTCTCCCTCCGAAGTCGAACGTGAGATCAGGCTGTTGAAGTTGAACAAAGCCAATGGACCAGTTGATGAACATCCAGCCCTCTTCAAATTCGGTGACCTGCTCTTGTTGATGATTTATACGCATTACTAGTGGAACTGTGGGAGCAGGAGACTGTCCCAACCGACTGAGCCGCTCCGTCATAGTCCTAATTTTCAATGGATGCTCATGCTCAGAATGTGACTACCATAGAGGAATCAGTCTGATCTCCATCGCCTCCAAATTACTTGCTTCGGTAATCTTCCACAGACTGACTGGCACTCGTGAAATCCAGCTTCATGAGGAACAAGGCTGGTTTCGTCGAGGTCATTGCTGCATCGACCACATATTCACCTTGCGTCAGTTGTTGGAGCACCGTCACATATATTGGCGACCCACCATAGTCATCTTCCTCGATATCAAAGGTGCCTTCGATTCGTTTGATCGATGTGCCCTTTGGGGCTGTCTAGTCTGGAAAGGTGTACCCGAGAAATATGTAAATATTATCTGATCATTATGCGCGCGTAGCACAGGCAGATTGAGGGCTTACGGCCAGCTGTCATCGCCCTACAGTATCTCCAGTGATGTGAGACAAGGATGCCCACTGCCACCTTTCCTTTTCAACTCCGTTCTTGATTACTCATAATTTTACATAGTAATTTTTTTGCTACATAATAGCCGGCCGTTAACTTACCGGAACTATACGCATCCGTTACCAGTCGCCCAGCTGGCTTCCATCTGTTGCATTTCTCCTTTTTTCTTTGATGTATTGCGGCCCATTAGCTGAGGTGCTTCCCACCTCCAGCTAGCGTATATAATGTTGATGATGATGATGATTTTGAACATGCTCGGTTTGGCGTGTCTCGAAATATTCTAGAATAAAATTTTATTTATTTATGATGCTTAGGTGATTGATCGCGCATAGGTGCAAGCTATTGGATGGATATCGTCTCCTCTCTCCCATTCTAAAATCGAACGCGTGCGTATTCAGGGTTACGCTCGATAAGTTCCACCTGTTCTACAGGAGGATCTAACTTGGAGGACCGGACCCGGTGAAGACAGTCAGGTAGGAATAGAATAGCCAAATGGAAATCGATTATGTTCGGAAAACCTCTCGTGTGGGTTCTCGTTTGTTGCAATGCATAGAAGCGATCGAATCGGATGCATTGCGCCGAGTACGGCAATCTCCTATTGATCAACTGGGAGATTACGGGGGCGTAGGGATGGAGAAACGGCTCTCCACAATGTTTCATTTACGCGTTCGACTTACCCATTAGCTTGTGGATGATATGCGGTAGTTCGATTTGTTGCTGTTCCTTTGTTATGAAGGAAGTCGCGCGGTTCACGGTTGGAGAAACTTCTACTTCATCTCATAACAAACGGCACAATTCATAATTATAGATTTGATTTCAGCCACAGAATGCGATAGGTCTTTGGCGCGGACGAAATGATTTTTGCGAGTTATGCCGGAGTGATACATCGAATCATGGAGTCGTTTTAGGTTCGGACTGCCGGATGAGCTGCTGCAGCAGGTACGCGAGAGTGTGTCGGCTGGGTACATAACACATCGTAGTGCAATGGCGCAAGTTCAAGCCTCCAGCGCAGTATTTTGTCCTTTTTACTTTTTTTCTGGTTCGTACTGTTGTACATGAAAGCCACAAGGCGTTGATCTGTGATTAGCTTGAAGTGATTCTCAAGTAGTATATGCCACCTTGTTCGCACTGCCTCAACGATCGCGTAGGGTACTTTTTCCGCCGAGGGATGGCGCTTCTCAATGGAAGTTAACGTGCGAGAAACGAGAGGTCTCAGCCTTCGTTTTGTTTTAAGGTAGCTAAGATACTTACATCAGAAGCATCCGTTTCAACTACTAACGGTACATGAAGATCGGCAGTGGTAGGCGTCCTCGCGGTATACTCAGCCCGCGCGCGACTGGTGGTGGTTGCGCGGCAGCGAAGCGCCGTTACGGCGTATAAGCTGACACAAGTACGGCGCTCTTCAGCTTCTTCAAACCCTCAGAAGACTTTTGGACGGATGGTAGTGTAGGAAATTGTGATGTGAGCGAGTGGACCAATTTTATCAGAGAAGTATGGTATGCATTGGGAGTAGTAAGCGAACCTTCCTATCAATCCCGGTTGAACCTTGATGTCGGTGGAAGGAAGAAATTCTTGTAAAGGCTTCAATCTTTTGGGATCGGGCTTAATTATTCCTTTCGAAGTTTCATGTGCTAGAAGTCTGCTTGGCTCCGAACACGCTTTTTGTGTCATTGAAATCAATGCCGTACTTTGAAGCGACGTTCAGAAAGCGACCTAAGTTTTGTAAATGTTCAGTAGAGTGTTTTCCACAGACGGTAACGTTGTCAATGTAGGCAAACATATGGACCAAATTTTCTTTGGAGATTGTTTCGTCCATGGTTCTTAGAAAGCAAGAAACACCATTGGTTACTCCGAAAGGTATGCGACAGCATTGATAACGCTTGCCACAGGCCTCGAAAGCCGTGTACAGACGTTCTTCAGGTTTGATAGGAATTTGATGATAAGCACTCCTTAAGTCTAAGGTACTGAATGTTTCAAAACTAGCAGTCTTATGAACCGTTTCGTCCAATTTATGTAGAAAGTATGCATCAAAGTGTGTATAATCGGCTTATCGTTTGACTGTACTCTACGACCATTCGTCAGATGTATCGTTCGTTCGTAATGACCAGTATCTGAGCTCTCCATGGCGAAGAGGATGGCTCGATGATGTTTTCTTGTAGATGGCTTACTTCAGAGCGGATAAAAGCCTCGTTTCCGGGAATGTATCCTCCCGACTTTGTCACTATTGGTTTACACTCGGGCGCGAGGTTACGGAA